GCACTGACTGCTCCTGCAGAGGACCCAGGTTCAATTCCTAGCACCCACATGACAGCTAACAACTGTCCTTAACTCCAGTTCCAGGAGAATCTGATGGTCTCTTCTGACCTCTGAGGCATTGCACTACAGGGCTGCACCTACAAACATGTAGACAATACACTCATGCACATAAAATAAAAATAATAAAATATTGTTAAAAATTGTAAATTCTCAGGGCTGGAGAGATGGCTCAGCGGTTAAGAACACTGCTCTTGAAGAGGACCCGGGTTTGATTCCCAGCACCCAGATGGCGGCTACGAACTGTCCTTAACTCCAGTTCCAGGGGAATACATAGTCCCTGCTGACCTCCGTGGCATTGCATGACATGGGTGCATTCACATACATGCAGGCAATAGACTCATAAAATAAAAATAAATTATTTTTAAAAATTGTATATTCTCACAAATTGGAGGCCAGCTTGAGCCACATAAGTGAGTCTGGGGCAGTCTGAGCTATACATTGAAACAGCATATAGGTGTACTATCACAAGTCCATGATCCCAGTACTAGAAGGATCACAGAAAATTCGAGGCTGGTCTATAACAGAGATCTTCTTACTTCTGCCCCCCAATTGCTGTGCCTCTATGCCTGGATATACTGAAGGATTTTAAGTCAACATACCTTAGACACAACTGCTTGTCCATGTTCATTACAGCAGTTTTCAAAGTAGCTAAGATTCAGAATCAGTCCAGCTGTCCATCAACAAATGAATGGATAAAGAAAATGTGATACGTACATATGTACAATGGAGTTTTTAACAATTTTTCCTGTTTATGTTCACAATTGAGTTTTTAAAATTTATTTTTATGTGTATGAATGTTTTACCTGAATGTATGTCAGATCCTCTGGAACTGAAGTTGCAGGCCATTGTTAGCTGCCATGTGGGTTTCTGGGAACCCAACCCAGGTCCTCTGCAAGAGCAGCCAATGCTCTTCACCTCTGAGCCATTTCTCCAGCCCATAATGGAAGTTTTTTTCAGCCTTAAAGAAGTATAGGCCAGGTGGTGCACTCATATAAATTCCAGGACTTGGAAGATCAAAGTAAGTCAGTAGCTCAAGGTCAGCTTCACCTACATAGTGGTTCAAGGTTAGCCTGGACTACATGAGATTCTGTTTCAAAAAATAGTAAATAAAATTGTCATTTGCAAAAAAAAAAAAAAAAAGGATGAAACAAGATCGTTGTATTAAAACAAATAGCACGTTTTCTCTCATGAGGAATCTAAATCATATATATGAGCCCAGAGGGGGTGCTGTTTAGGGATAAAGGGGACCAGAGGAAGGAGAGTAGTGGGGAGGAATAGGAATAAAGTACAAAGTTGTATATATTTGAAAATGTCATCTCCCTGAACTTGAAGATAAGATTCTATTGCTGAAGACAGGACATACTTTGGACACAGGATTTGGAGCAATGGAGCTGGAACTGACCTGGAAGCCACCTCCCCTGAAGTCTAGCTCTCATAGCTTTGGAGAGCCCTACAAAAGCTGCTAAGGGAGGATATCAATCGATGGTCCAACCCCAGCTTTAAGGCCTAAAAACCACACCAATTACCTGCACAGCAAACAACATTGTTGTAGTAGTGGCACTTTTTATCTTGGAGCAATCAACAGCCACTGAATTGGACTTAAAGCCCACTCAATGGGAGGTAACACATGTGTGGTACTGTAAGCCTAGCCAAATACACACAGATCTTAGAGAAAACCTCAAGGCTGTCTGTTACATTCCTCAAAAATGTAATTTTTTTTTTTTTTGTCTTTTTGAGACAGGGTCTCCCTGTAGCTCCAGCTGTCCTGGAACTCACTGTGTAGACCAGGCTGGCCTTGAACTCAACAGAGATCTGTCTGCCTCTGCCTCCCAAGTGCTGGGATTAAAGGCATGCACCACCACGCCCGGCTAATTTCTTATATATATTTTATTCATTTTTATTTTATGTGTATGAATGTATTGCTTGCATGTATGTGAGTGTACCTGTGTCGTGCAATGCCACGGAGGTCAGAAGAGGGCATCAAGATTCCCCTGGAACTGGGATTAAGGATGGTTAGTAGCCACCGTGTGTGCTGAGAATCGAACCCAGGTCCTCTGCAAGAGCCATCTCTCCAGCCCGACAAATGTAATTTCTTCCTATGTGCAAAATATGAATCCTTAAATTTACAGACAAGTATCTCAGTCACTACCCATCAAAGAAGCTTCTTTCTCAACAGACAGATTATTATAGACTTCCACAACTAGTCACACACACAGATTCTCTGTGAATTTCCCAAAACCTAAGTGGCACATCTACAATGCAGCCTCTACACTGAAGGCTTATGGAACATAGAACAAGGGATGAAGAGGACACTAATGCATCTTTTAATTCTCATCAGTGAAGCTCCCTCATGCAACAGAGAGCCAGGAACAAAAAAGGTCACAAATGGCCAAAGAGCGTACAAAGTGTGGGTTCTTGGACAGGGCTCTTTATCCACCCAGGGCTCAGGGACCATTTCAGAAGAGGGGGTTGAAAGATTGTAATAGGGAAGAGGTGCATGACCATATGCAAATAGAATCCTACAGGCTCCTGGGACCCCTCCTCATATGAACCTACAGCCATGGTATCAGCATGCACTAGACCCATGCAAACTCAAGCAGACAAAAACCACCAGACTGGAAATGGACAGCAGGCCCCAATTTTGGTCTAAGAATTACTGGCAGATGATAACTGCTGGATGAGGAAGAGTTGATCTTCCCTATTTTATTTTTTATTTTTTGGTGTTTTTGAGACAAGGTCTCCCTGTAGCCCCATTTGGCCTGGAGCTTGCTATGTAGACCAAGCTGGCCTGTAACTCACAGAGATCCTCCTGCCTCTGCCTTTCAAGGGCTGGGATTTAAAGGCATGTGCATCACTCGTCACTGAAAGGCATTATTTTGTAAGGTAAAGCCCCAGGTAACTAAAATATTAGGGGTTTTGGTTTGGTTTAAATTTGGAGATTTTTGGTTCTTTTGAGAAAAGGTCTCCCTTTGTAGCCTAGGCTGGCTTTAAAACGGGGAAATCTGCTTGCCTCGTTTCCCCCTGTACTTCATCACGGAGGTCTTCTGTGGTTCTTTGATCACAGGACAGAATTAAGTAGGACATGCAACCACAGGTTTGCCATTTTTTCATCTACTTTTTCTTTTTTCCCTCGCGAAAGGCCTCTCAGGCTTCGACCGGGTCTAGAACCTGCGCTTGCCTGCGAGCATTGGTTTTGGGGTGAGCCGGGCTGGAAGGCAGGTTCTGTGACCCAGAGTCACGCACCCCAGGCGGGGCGGAGGGAGTGGGGCGGGGCCAGCGAGAACTGTGAGGCGATTGGCTGTTTCGCGGCCGTATGCTAATTAGTGTTCAGCGTGCGCTGTCTTCGGGAAACTAGCAGTTCAGAACGCTCTGTTGAATGTGAAAAATATCCTGAAAGAGAACACGACATACTTCGGGCAAGTGGTATCGTTGAGAACAGCACCAAAAGAAAAGTCCGGAACCAAGGAAAGCGACTCGCCGTGAACAAGAAGTGAGTGCGTTTCGTACAGCATGGAGAGCGGGCGGTGCCAAAGCTAAGACTATACTTTCAGGGATCATTTCTATAGTTCGTAACTAGAGAAGTTTCTCTGACTGTGTAGAGTACCCGAATCCACGAGGACGAGACATAGCGTTCCCTTCTGAGCGTGAAGCTGGCTTTTGGTGTTGCTGTTTTCCGCAACTGCCACTTGCCATTGATGATCGTTCTTCTCTTCCCCTGGGAGAGACAGAGGGAGGGATTGCAGTCTGAGTGGTTTCTTAATTTTGCTTTCTCTCGTTATAGAATGTGAGATTTTGAGTTTGAAGTATTAGTTAGTTGGTACTAGTAAGTGCGTGTCTGTGCTTGTCGAAACAGTAGCAGGAGAATAACTTTTATCAAAACTAAACAGTTAAGTAATAGAGAAAAATGTAAGTGGTGTGTTTTGTCTCCCACACCTATATGATGGCCCTGAAACTTCAGGGATCTGACACCCTTTTTTTTGATCTCTGTAGACAGGAATTGTTAAGTGCACTACACTGTAGCAAGCCTGGCAACCAGTGATTCCCCCGACAAACATAGTGGAAGGAGAGAACTGACTCGCCACTGTTGTCCTCTTACACTCACAGTGGCACATGTGCATGTATGTCCTAAAACTTACTATGGAGACCAAGTTGGCTTAAAACTCAGAGATTTGCCCGATATGGTGGCACATACCTTTAATGTCAGCACCTGGGAGGCAGAGGCAGGTGGATTTCTGTGAGTTTGAGGCCAGCATGATCTACAGATCGAGTTCCAGGCCAGCTGGGGCTACAGAGAGACCCTGTCACCAAAAGGCTAAATAAATGAATACATACATACATGTATACATAATAAAAAACTCACAGATCCGCCTGCCTCTGCCTTCCAAGTGCTGGGATTAAAGGTGTATACCACCATGCCAGCAGCTTCTTCGGTCTCTGGATAAAAGAACATGTAAATGTACTTAGAGGGGTACTAGAGGACAATTTATTGGAGTCAGAGAATAGCTGGCCAGGCTAGCTAGAGAAGCTGCCAGGAGATGGAAAGCAAAGAAAAAGTTCCATCTTTAATACAACAGGAGGAAAAAGGTAGACCTTACAGGATAAGGTGAACACATCCAAAAACTGTCCACAGACAGCCTTTTTTCTTTAGCTTTTACATGCCTTCTTGGGATAATGGGGGCCTTGGGTACAAAAGCAACACTTTACCATTGGTGGCCAAACGAGGAAATACTCAGGATTCAACCGGGGGTCTAAAAACCTGCGCGTGCCTGCGAACATTGGTTTTGGGGTGAGCCGGGCTCGAAGGCAGATTCTGTGACCCAGTCACGCACCCCAGGCGGGGCGGAGGGAGTGGGGCGGGGCCAGCGAGAACTGTGAGGCGATTGGCTGTTTCGCGGCCGTATGCTAATTAGTGTTCAGCGTGCGCTGTCTTCGGGAAACTAGCAGTTCAGAACGCTCTGTTGAATGTGAAAAATATCCTGAAAGAGAACACGACATACTTCGGGCAAGTGGTATCGTTGAGAACAGCACCAAAAGAAAAGTCCGGAACCAAGGAAAGCGACTCGCCGTGAACAAGAAGTGAGTGCGTTTCGTACAGCATGGAGAGCGGGCGGTGCCAAAGCTAAGACTATACTTTCAGGGATCATTTCTATAGTTCGTAACTAGAGAAGTTTCTCTGACTGTGTAGAGTACCCGAATCCACGAGGACGAGACATAGCGTTCCCTTCTGAGCGTGAAGCTGGCTTTTGGTGTTGCTGTTTTCCGCAACTGCCACTTGCCATTGATGATCGTTCTTCTCTTCCCCTGGGAGAGACAGAGGGAGGGATCGCAGTCTGAGTGGTTTCTCAGTAGGTTGACAAGTAGCCCAAGTTGAAATGGCTTGCAGTTTGACTGGAATATTTATTTTTTGGTTTCAGAAGTTGTATGATTTTATGTACTTCTTGACTAGTTAGGACCATATGAAAACGTGCTTTCTGGAAATCAGTTCTGTAAGGAGTAGTTTTGTTAAGTGCTAAGGGACTTGTTGAGAGCTGGTTGTCTACATCCACGTAAACAGTATTACTGTTATTATTACTCCTTATTCCTCAGGGTCTGACCCCCCCCCCTTCTTCTGACTTTTATGCTCCTTGCATTAATGTAGACAAACCCACACAACGTTCTATAGAATTTTTGTTTTTTCATTTTATGTGTATGAGTGTAATTGCCTGCATAAGCCATTTCTCCAAGCTCCTGAAAATAGTTTTTAAAAAATCACTCACGTGATATTTCTTAGGAGACAGTAGCATGGTAAAATATTTGCATTAGTTAAAAGTGCACCCTCCAGAGTCAGACACTATTATTCCCAGCACCCAGGAGACAGATGTTCTCTGAGTTCTGGGCTAGCCTGGTCTATATAGCCTGGTCTATATAGCTACTTACTATGTAGACCAGGTCTACCTTTTTTTTTTTTTTTAAAGTTTATCTTCTTTTAAATATGAAACAAATTAATCACATAGAAGTATGCTGTAATAAAAACTATGACATTGAAATACACCAAGAAGCATGTAAAAAGGTTTTTTGTACAAGTCTGGGGTGTCAGTTGAGCTCACCAGAAGGAAATAATTGAACAGAATTAAGAAGGAATTCAAGAATTGAAGCTGGCCAGAGTGTGTGAAACCTCAAATCATGATAGCATCTCCAAGGGAACACACTCTGCCTCTGCTCTTAGGTACTCTTGTTGTTTCAGGGATCATTTCTATACTAGAGAAGTTTCTCTGAACCTGAAGAGCATGGAATCCTGGAGTTGTTACAGCACTCTTCCTGAGCACAAAGAGTCATCTCTCAGTGTTGCTTTGTTGCGATGGCTATTTGCCTTTGATGGTTATTCCTTTGGGAAATCAAGAGAGGCAATCAAGATTTATATTTATTTATTTATTTTTTTTTTATGTGTTTGAGTGTTTTGACTGACTGTATGTATGTGCACCACATGTGTGCCATGCCCACAGAGGCCAGAAGGCAGTTCCCAATTCCCTGGATCTAGAGTTACAGGCATTGTGAGCTGCCATGTGAGTTCTGGGAACAGAACCTCTGCAAGAGCACTTTCCAGCCTCAGAAGCTTACTTTTTACATATTATATATGTATACACACAGACACAGACACACAGACACAGACACAGACACACACATACACACACACACACACAAACCCCAGGGCTGGAGAGATGGCTCAGCCGTTAAGAGCACTGGCTGCTCTTGCAGAGGACCCAGATTTGGTTCTCAGCACCCACATGACAGCTAACAACTATCCATAACTCCAGTTCTAGGGGATTCAACACCTTCTTCTGGCCTCTACAGACATTGCATGACATGGGTGCACACATGCAGGCAAAACACTCGTACATATAAAAAATAAAATTTTAAAGAAGTATATATATACATATATATATATATATATACTTCTTTAAAATTATACGTATATGTATATGTGTATAGCTTTGTTTTGTTTTGAAACAGCCATTCTGAAGTCTTGGCTGGCCTTGAACTCATGGCAGTCCTCTTACTACAGCCTTCTGAGTGCTGATATTACAGACATTAACAACTAATTCTTGACTTTCCTTTTTTGTTTTATTTTAGAGTTGACAAATATTTGCTTTCTTTTGTTATTTTCTAAGAAGTGGGGGGGTACTTTAGTGAGGAATTACTTCTGTGGGCTTTTTTTTAATGTTTTTTTTTGTTTGTTTGTTTCGTTTTTTTTTGAGACAGGGTCTCCCTGTAGCCCCAGCTGTCCTGGAACTCACTATGTAGACCAGGCTGACCTTGAACTTACAGAGATCTGCCTGCCTCTGCCTCCCAAGTGCTGGGACTAAAGGCGTGCACCAACATGCCTGGCATAAGTATTTTTTTTTTTGATCTTTTAAAATTTCATACAATATTTCCCACTCAAATCCAGACCCCCCTCTCCCACCCATGCCTCCCCTCCCCCCCAAACCCTACACACTCTGCCATACATGTTGAGTCTATTCATTCATGTGTTTGTACCCAAATGTCCTTCAGTGCAAATGTGCCCACTGGAATCTAAGCCCATTTAGTGGTTGTATGCAAGTCATACTCTCCCTCACCCAGCAGCAACCAGTCTCAAATAGTTCTTGACCTAGTGCTGATCTCACCTCCCCTGTGGGCCTTTGTTTAATTGAGTTGACATGAGTCCCATGCTTGATGCCACTGTTGCTGCAGGCACACTTGAGTAAGTCTCTTGGCCTGGAAACCTCCATCTCATACATTCATGAACCAGCCCTGGTTCTTACAATCTTCCGGTCTCCTCTTCCACAATGGTCCCTGAGCCATGGATGGGTGAGGTTCCATATAGGAGTCCCATCCTACACTCTACAGTCTCTTATTCTCCAAAACTTGGCCAGTTGAGGCCTTCTGTGTGTAATGCACTCTGATGTACATGGAAGCCTCACTGTGAGAGTTGAGGGGTGCATTAGCCCTCTCTCTACCCCTTATTCTGCTATGTTCCATGAGCTTTGGTTATAGAGATTCGACTGCAGATGTGTCACTTAGTACTGGACATCTCCCAGGTGTATGTTCTCTATGCCTGACCCGATGTGCAACTCTGCAGTAGCCTCCATCTGGTCCAAAAAGAAGCTCCTTTGATGAGTGCTGTACAGCATGTTATTCGCTGTAAGGGAGGTCTCTTCTATCTCGCACTGGGTTCCCTTCCAATATGGGCTTTAAAAAAAAATTAGTTGCTGACCCTTAAGCAATTAGTACCTTAGCTTGAATTTATTTCTCTGTAAATTAAATCTATGTAGTAGCACCACCAATGTATGTGAGTTTTTTCTCCTGAACCCATACGGTGGAATGAAAGACTTGATTCTTGGAAAGAACAGTCTGTCACTGGAACCTGAGACTCACTAATTAAGTTAGGTTGACTGACCAGAGAGCTGCAGGGATCCTCCTGTTTCCACCTCCCAGCTCTAGGATTACAAGTGTGTATACCGTGCCTGGCTTCTTACATGGGTTCTGGGGCTCCAACTTGGGTCTTCATGTTTGCACAACAGGTGCTTTACAGACGAAAGCCTGTAAAGGTCCCTTTGGATTTTTTTTTTTTTTTTTTTTTTTTTTTTTTTTTTTTTGGACCCATCATTTGAGGGTTTTGTTTACTCCCTATGCAGACCAGACTGGTCTCAAACTCACAGAGATCCGCCTGCCTCTGCCTCCAAGTGTTGGGATTAAAGGTGTGCGCCACCACACGTGGCAGGATTTTTTAATTTTTTATTTTTATTTTTTGGTCTTTTTGAGACAGGGTCTCCCTGTAGCCCCAGCTGTCCTGGAACTCACTATGTAGACCAGGACGGCCTTGAACTCACAGGGATCCCCCGCCTCTGCCTCCCGAGTGCTGGGATTAAAGGCGTGCGCCACCACAC